TGGGCCCCGGCCCGGGCGGGTGAGCGCGGGGGCGAGCGCAGGGGCCGCTCACCGGGTCGCTCCTCGGGGTGCTTCACGCGCGGGGCTCGTCAAGGCCCGGGCCGCTGGGCAGGGCGCCTCCGTTCCCCTCAGGCTCAGCGGCTCCGTGGTGGAGCCGCCGCTTGAAGCGAGGCCTTTGGCCCGCTCTTTCTCGGGCGCTGGGAAATTGACAGCGCTTCATTTCTCTGCCTGTAGAATCTTGATTTTTCTCGTTCTGCTATTTCAGGGCCTGGCTCCTTGTAGGGGTTGTTTTGAGTTCCTGCCCCTTCCCGAGGAGGCTGTAGGACCCATGGCTTGTCCCAGTGTGGAAAGGCAGGCAGAGCTAGATCCTAAATGAATGCTACTTAGCAGTGCATGGCAGTTACCTGTGGTCCTTGAGGCTGAAATTATGCCAAGGGAATGGGGAGAAACCAGGGATGCGAGGTGTTAGCAGGACCTTTAAATGAGCATCTCTTATCCCGTGTTTCTGTTGTACTTGGGTATGCAGGCTTGATGCTAGAAAAAGAAAAATCAGCATTAATTAGTTAATTTTTACTGCTGATGTTCTCCTGGGGACTGTAGGTTTGGGCTAGGCCAAGCCAAATTGCTCTCTGATGATGAGGCACACGTATAGTCTTGATACAGAGCAATTCAAAAGGCTTTAGGTGGCTGGAGAGTTACGTGATGATTTCCGAAAGCACGGAATGTAGGGAAGCTTCTGCCAGCCTTCAGGGATGGGCAAAGTGTATATAAAATGGAGGCTGAGTTTCATGTCCTTTCTTGGGACCAGAGAGGTATAGCAACTGAAAGAGAAGTATGTGAGAAGCTTTTCTTTCTTTTTATCTTTTTCTTTCCTTTTTTTTTTTTCATTTGCCAAGGTAAATCCAAGCTGAAGTGAGAGGCATTGCATTGAAATATCGCTTTTAGAAAAGCATCCAGAGGCAGACAACTAAGAGCAAGACATAATTTTGAAAAGCAGTAGAGAAGGAGTATTAAGCACTGCTATTAATCTTACCAGTTTTGCAGCCATTGGGTGTCTCAGTGAGTGCTTGCTGGTCTGAATAGTTGAAGTTATTCATCCCCCCAGTGTAATGGCTAATTTTACTGGTACAAAAGGTATTTTTCTGTGTCTTTGGGCTGTAGTATGAGAATGTAACATCTCCTTTATATCTCGCTGTACTCATTCATCAGGTCTGCTTTCCAGGAGGGCTGGTAGTGATGAGGGAAGTCAAGTCTCTGGTGTCTTTCGTGTTGTGTTTCTGACAGGCTGTCCCACAATGGATGGGGGCGATGGGACTGCTGACCTTGTGATCAACAAGCGGTTTGTGTCTGAAGCGGAGCTAGAGGAGCGGCGGAAGAGGAGGCAGGAGGAATGGGAAAAGGTCCGAAAACCTGAAGATCCAGTAGGTATGGATATATTTTAATGATTTTAAGGAAGAGAGCTGACTTTATTTCACTCATGGAAAATAGAAGTAGAAGGATGATAATACCGTGTGTCTTATAAGTTCAAAAAAAACAAAGAACTTAAGAAGTTTTGGTGACTTAGTGTGTCTAACGAATAGTCCAATTTCCTGATTTCTTCCTTTCTTTCAGAATGCCCAGAGGAGGCATATGACCCACGTTCGCTGTACGAAAGACTTCAGGAGCAGAGAGAAAAGAAACAGCAAGAGTTTGAGGAGCAATTTAAATTCAGTAAGCACTAGCAGTTATTATTAAAACCAGCAAAAAGATGTTTTTTTTTTTCCTGTATATAATGTATTATTCTGTACACCAAGACAGCACTGCACACATGTGAAATTTAAAAGTTGAACAAAGTCCTGACAGCAATTAATGGAAAAGTGGAAATGTAAATTGGTTTCCTGACTACTGAGCTCATGCTGTAACACAAGACCCTCTTGTGTGAATCGATAAAAAGAAATACTCTTCCAGACAGTATTGTATTTCCCATAATTAGTCGAGTCAAACTCCTGTGAATTACTTGAGGTCAAGACTAGCATTCAGAGGAAGTAAGTATATAGGAGCTGATTCTTCAAAAACTAGATGCATGGCTCTTGTGGAAATAGAAAGAAAACATAATTTCTGTTTGGTTTTAAAGAAAAAATCTTTCCCTCTCTATCGCCTGTATATGTGTCACTGAGTGCAAAGATGATAATGAGAACCGGAAAAGCGTTAGTGAACCATTTTGGGTGAAAGGGAACTATTGGCTCTATTTAAAGAGAACTGAGGCTGATACTGCGAGGGCTTCATCTTTATGGGGGCTTCTAAATTATTTTTATTCTTTAGATGGAAGCCTCATCCTCCAAGCATTGTTTTTTTTTTTCTTTTTTTCTCTAAGCTCCAGTTTGCACAGATGGATTTTGTCTAGAGTTTTCTTGTTGATGTTACACAACAGAACTATTTGTTTCCTTTAATTACAGCACAGAATTTGAGTTCTGTTAAATACATTCCCTGATCCTGCAGATGTTACCACATGTGGTGCTGTACACTTGCAGTACATATTTGCCTGCAGCCAAATTTCTTTGGAAGAAGATCAGTGCCCAGTTGTATTAGATCCGTAGGGTCTTTGCTTTGTTTTCGGAAAGCTGTAAACCAAGTAATAGAATGAGAAGCATCCATGAAAAGGGGGTTGGGGAAATAAACCAAACTGTTTTTAAGGCAAGCCTCACAGAATAGTGTTAATGAGGTACTTGCTATCTGAAGAGCAAATACATCATTTTACTAAATACTTCTTTCTTCTAAAGGACTTTAGAGAGCTTACCTACAAAAAAATTTAGTCAGAAGAACCTCTCCAGCTGCTGCTCTTAGTTTTCAGATTAGGCATATGCACGATGAAATTAATGTCTCTTGACCAGAGTGTCACTGCTTTTGCTGTTTGTTTGAAGAGGTCCTCAATGGTAGTGACTGCAAGTTACTGTTTGGACACGTAGGAATGAGTTGTGCATTTTGGCAGTTGAAAGACTAGGGCTCAACGTTTAAAAAGTAACCTTAAAATTTTGCCTTTTTTTTTAAAAAAAATTTCTTCCATCAAATTCTGGTTGCCTGTTGTAAAGGCCTAGAAATCTTGATGTGGAGTTAAACTCTAAGCAACATTAAAGCTGGTTTAAATGTCTCAGGATGACTGGAAATAGAAACATTAAGTCTTTTTAAAGCAGCGTTTTTGTTACCTTTCTAAATGTATGATTTTGATTAAGAGGCACTGAAAATTCACAGAAAAAAATATGCAGACCTTCATATTCAAGAAGAGGGTGCTCTCCTTGAAGGAAGACAATATGTTTACATGTTTGGAGATTGTGGGGTTTTTTTTTTTGAGATTAAAGCTTGTTCTCATTTTTTAAAAACAGATGATGATCTCTGCTGAATATCTTTTTTTTTTTTGCTTTAAGAAAATGTGCTTCCTAGTTTGATGCAAGATTTATAGGGAGAGAAGTAACATATTTTTTCCAATTATTGATTATTTTAACAGCGCGTTCTGAGCTGACGGTTTTAACTCACTGAAACGAAAGCTGCAGATAGATCATTCCTTAATATTGTTATTCCTTGTTCTGTGTAACCTGTTCCAAAATTGCCATTCAGAATTGAGGAAAAGCTGCTTGTATGAAGATTTGGTTGATTTTCCCTTGTTATATCAGTACGTCTAGCATTACGTGACTTACCCCTACAGATTTCTGCCTTGTTTTTCTTCTTAGTAACACTGCTATGATTAGATGTGTTAGTCTGTTGTAGCTCATGCGCTTGAGTGTTTAGGAAGTGCTTTTAGAGAATTACAGAAGCAAGCAGATCACTTTTCCTTTATGGGATTTGCTTTAACCCTTCACCTGGCTGCACAGGGAAAGGGCTCTAATCCCTGCGTCCCCAGGGCTTGGTCCAAGTTGTCCTATCTCAGCAGTGTTAAAAATGTCCTGTGTGAGCTGTGGATGGTTAACTACATTTTATGAGCTAGATGAAAAACACTCTAACTAATGCGAGACAAATACCTGCTCTCCTGATGGCTTTCGCTTATAGATATGCCTTTTTTGCCTTTTTTGTCAGAAAATATGGTAAGAGGCTTAGATGAAGATGAAACACATTTCCTTGATGAGGTTTCTCGGCAGCAAGAGCTAATAGAAAAGCAACGAAGAGAAGAGGAGCTGAAAGAACTGAATGAATACAGAATATCCTTTGCACAGAGATGGCTGGCCATTGTATATAGGAAGTTAAGAGACTATGCTGTGGTTTTGTTCTGTAATTCAGTCTTTCTATAAAACGCTGTAGAGAACGTGTGCAGGAATAACCTTTTAAAGTTTTTTGTGGTTTCAGTCTCCCATTAGAGTGTTCCCCTCACTATCTTCAATATTTTTTCCTTTCTTCCAATTGCTTTTCTTTTTCTTATTAAGAGCATAAAATATCAAAGCTTAAAAAGAGTAAGTGGATGTAAAGGAAACATGGAAAGGAAACTTTTATTTTTTTTTTGTCCTTTTATTTCAAACCAAATATTATCAACTTGTTTGTTCTTAACTGCATATTGGGTGTTTTTAAGATACTTGCTTGAAATAGTGCTTGACTTGCTCTGTTATTCTTGAAGTATTAGGTAGGTTGTCCCCTGCTGGAGCTGCAGGGTGAGAAAGTAAGAAAAAGTGAACCAGCCACGCAGATGTGACTTTCTTTGGGAAAGCTGGCACTTGAGGAGGCTTGACCTCTTTGGAGAATACAGTCTTCAGTCCTGGATCAGGCAGTTACAATTTGCTGTCAAATGCCACCGTTAGTGAAGATGTGCTGGAGAGCAGTGTGGGCTGCTTTTTCCCTCTAATCTTTGCCAGGGAAAGGAGGTTGGGAGTGATTTGAAAGCTTGTGTCTGTGCTAAGCTGCGTGTTGTGTTTCAAGGGTCAGGAGGAGAAGTGGTTTACTGTGGTTGTGCAGAAGCCAGTGGCTGCTTTACCTCCCTTTGAGACCTGAGGAGAATCTTCACTTTACGTAATGACTGGACAAAATGCAAGTTCTCCAGGATGCATTGGTAGAAATAAAAGTTTTATGGACTCAGGGAAGAACAAACAGCTCGTATTTATGACGTGACCAAAAATAATGAGCAAAAAAAAGCTAAATGATGCTGGTGCCAGAAATATCTCACATCACCATGTATTAATTAATAATCTTCAGTGGAGAAGATTTATAGCTTGACTGTGTGTTCTGTGAAGAACATCTAAGTTGTCTCACCAATTCATCTGTATGAAAAAGGCAATGCTGTTGCATTTTTTTCCTTGAGAAATTGGCCGTAGCTGGCAAGTGGGTTTGGAATATTGCCTTGCTCTGTTGGATCTAATGATGGGGTGTTGGTGGGATATATATTTAGGCTCTGTAATACTGGCTTGCGGGTCTGGCAGATGCGGGGCTTGCGCTGTAGGGCCATGCTGCAGAAGCAGCTGACAGCTCTAGTTAGGTCACATACGTCCAGGGGTGAACTGTGCCAGCCTGGAAGGAATATTCTGCTGTCTCGGATTAGCCACATCATGCACTGATCCCTGAACTCCTCAACAGGAGTCCCCTCCAGACTTAGCGCTTCCAGCCTCGGTCTTTGCAGCCTTAACAGTATCTTGTGCTTTTGTACACAGTCTTGCTGTAAATTAAGCTGTAGAACTTGTTGCTAATGGCATGTATAGAGGAAGCTGCTTTGGTTTGAGGTCACCTCCCCTCACAGAAAGCTGGGAAGGTTTTACCCATTCTACCTCATTCTGTCTTTTTTTAAAACATCATATTGGAGACATTCTCTCAAAATGCAAAATATGTGGGTTTTTTTGTAGCATTAAGCATTATCAGATGGTTTATCTGAAGGTTTATCACTGTAGTGACAAAATGAGCTAGCTACTGTGTAAACCTTCTGCATCTAGTGGTGCTGCTCAAGAGCTCCAAACTAAAAAGAGGGAACTCAGTGGGTTTGATCATCTTGATCATTTTCACGGATGTATGGAAGTTTTACTTCATATTCCATGATTATTTTCTCCCCCTTCATCATTGTCTGATTGTGTTTAAAGATTTTACAGATTTTTTCTTTCTTTAAGCCAATTCCAGGAATAACTTCTTCTAGGTTTAAATATTGTGCAAACATAGAAAGATCATCTCTCCAAGAAACTTAAGCTTTCCTGTAACACATCTTTTTTTTTTTTTTTTTTTAGTGCAGTTGACATTTAAGGTTGAGACATTTATTTTAATATAATCTTACTAAAAGGGAACACAGCTTTGATAGATAGTGTTACACTTGCTAGCAGTCACAGTACGTACATGTGAAAATCTGTTGGTACTCATTCCTGTTAGATGTGCTGCATCTCTGCTAGCTTAGGAGTATTAAAAGAATCTTGGATAAAAGTGAAAAGCCCATAATTTGGTATCTTTTAAAAGAAAGAGCTTTACTTCTTTGGCAAGGCTTTCATAGTGCAAGATTGAGGGGTGACAGAGCAGTGAACACTAAGTGTGGAAGAGGCAAATACTGCAGTGTGTAAAAATGTGTTGCAGCAGGATGCTATTTGGACGTAAAAAGAGCTTTCAAATTACTCCTGCTAGCCACAGGATGGCACTCCTGTGTCGTCTAAAAGAATTCAACAGTCTGGTTTTGACTGCTGAGGCATTTGGTTGAGGAAGGGTTAACTTTGGATTATTGAGGCATCTTTAGGAAAAATCAAATTAGGAGTGACATCTGAACGCTCCCAGTTTTAAAGGGATCAGAGTCTTCTGAGTGTGTGTTTCAAAGCGAAGTGAGAGCTTTTTTATTATCTCAATGGAAAAGAAAAATAAAGCTCTGCCTCTTCAAATATGTGGCCCATCAATATGAAATTCACTGTGTCTAATAGTTACATGTAATGAATGGCATACCTAGAAAGCTCGGGTATCATCCCATCAGTGGAACTGTAATCAAAGAAGACATCAATTAAAAAAAAAAAACAGATTTAAAGTTATAAATGCAATCCTTTTAAGTTAGGCTATATTTTTTAAGTATGCAATTATAAAGCTTCTCAAAGGCCTCTGTGGCTCCACTGCTACCTCATTAACAAGCATGGTCTTTGAAAGACCTCAGTTTTATGAGATACAGCTAAATATTAAGCATTACGTACAGGACTAGATAAGGCCATAGGAGAAGATATGTTTAGTGTGTTTGCAGATTGAGTGAACCTTAATAAGGGACAAAGCTCCTTCTCATCCACTCTGAGAATCTCAAACTTTTCCCTTTCACTGTATGGTTTACCTCAACTTATGGTGTACCTCAACTTTCTGACACTGTTTTAAGCTACTTTTTTTAAGCTCCTTCTCATCCACTCTGAGAATCCCAAACTTTTCCCTTTAACTGTATGGTTTATCTGTACCTCAACTTTCTGGCTACTTTTTCTTTCCCTCCTATGTGTTCATAGTCTTTGGGTGAATGTTGGATCCCATAGACCTTTAATTGGATTTGCCTCTTTCCTTTTGGATTTAGTGTTCAAATTGGCTGTGAAAGAGCAGTCTGCCTCGCTAATAACATTGTGGTCCTTGCAAAGAAATGAGCTGAAAGAAGGTTAGTGTGGTAGGTACCGATACAGAAAGCTGAGCAGTTTTGCTTTGGCAGTAGAGGGAGGTACTGGGTTGCCCGGTGCAATTTTAGCAAAGTTCAACCTTTTTGTTTCTGTGGCCTTAAGTAAATGCAGGAGGATGCACATGTTTATGGGTGCTGGATTTGCTGTGTGTTGCCCTTTCCTCCTTCCAAAATGCAGTTCCTGTTTGGAATAAGCTGTTACCTGCTGCCTAGAAGTCTTTAAAAGGGGAGCTGGTTCATGAAGCAGCTTGTAAGTGAAAAGTGTGAAGGCTCTTTTGACCGAAGATGCCAGCTAAGTGTCATTACGATAAATTTCTTTCCCTGTAGTACGTGAATGAGCAGCAAGGCGGGCTAAATATATCAAAGAGGAAGTATCTTTTCTTTCTGTTCCTTCCTTATTGATCCTTAACCCTTAATTCACAGCACTCTCGCCAAAGTGGGAGTCAGTGCGGACTCAAAGAAGGAAACTGAGAAGAAATTGCCCATGAAGTCAGTGGAAAACAAGAACAAATTCTCTCAGGCAAAGCTGTTGGCAGGAGCTGTGAAACACAGAAGGTTCGTTTCACACCTCTATAAATTCACGAGGAACACAACCTAGTTAACAGTGTAAAGGGAGGCAGGCCAAAACTGCCTCCAGAGAGTGAGGTGCAAACCTTAGCTCTAAAGAAAAAAGGGGGAAGGTATCAGAAAAGACCAGTCGTGTTTCTATAGGCTCTTGCAAACTGTGGGCAAAACATGAAGCGATTCAAATAGATAAGCATGTGTAAAGCAAGCGGGTAGACTTCACAAGAACTGCCAAGCTGGTGTGGCCTTGCTTGGGGATCCAGAGGCAAAATCTTACACATCTCTATTTGAAGAAGTATCAGTGTCACTTGTGTAATTTGATTGGTATCTGCGTAGTCTATCAGTTTCTCTGTGTCTAAAACTGATGTTTTGAGCCGTTGCTGGGGGCAGCATACAGAAGAGGTAGGTTATGAGGAAAGAACTGAGGGCAGCAAGCAAACTCTCCTTGTTTCTTGCTGGTTTGCATTGGTACATTGGGCCTTTTTATCCCAAGGAGGTGGTAGTTGGGTTCATGGTCTGTTTGCTGTTTGGCTTTGACTTGCGAAGATGTGATGGAGAAATAAGGTATCTCGGGCCAGATTTGTTTCCCATAGACTGGTCATCTAATAATTCGGGTGATCACTGTCATCTCAAAATTAAGTTAGTATTTTTGAATCTATCCCAGACAGAGAGATGCTCTTTAGTTTCCAGTACACCCATGTCTATGCTGAAGTATGCTCTTCCGCTGGGTTTTGCATAGCTGTTTGTTTGTTTTTTGGTTTTTCAGGGAAGAGGAGAAAACCCTTTGATAACATGCAGCCAAAATGTTTTATTTTTCTCTTTAACTATTGGTAGTTGAGCCAGTAGAATGTAGAGAAGGAGCTGGCATGTGCTTCATGGCACATCTGAAGTCTGCAGATGGCAGCTCTTTGAAGAGAGCATTTTAAAACTGATGTGCCAATGCCATCACAGACTTTCTTTGCAGTCTTCTATTTCTGCAGTCCTGTTGCCAACTGGCCAAGGTCGAGTGCAGCATGAATTCAACATCTGCTCTTTGGATTTTGTAGTTTGCCCGTAAGTGGCCTCCACTCCCTGCACAGAATAACCTTTCCTCTGCATTGCATACTTTGTCAGGGACAGGAAAGAATTAGTATGTACAAAATGCTGGGATTTCATCCCGGAGCTCATCACAGCTGAATTTAGGATGTGTGTGTTAGCGTGGATGGCCTAGGATTGGGAACATGCAAGAAGAGAAAAAGAAACGCTGACAAGGTGGAGCTGGAGAAGCTCTGAAAAGTCAGAAGTCTGAGTAACGCTCTGTTTCCCCCATGCTGCTTTGGCCCCAGGTAGGATCCCTTTCTGTGCTAGGTCAGATGCAGCTAGTTAGAAATGGTGACGGTCTTCAGGGACCTCTGCTCAAATTCTCTGTAGCAGCAGAGGCAAAAATGTGCCAATAACTTCACAGTAATCAAGTGGCTGCCTCGGAGGAACTAGCCAATTCCTTGTTTGTTCACAGTTCGGATGGTGGTAACAGCGTGAAGAGGCTGAAACTAGACACTGACCACGATGAGAAGAGTCAAGGTACGTCCTGATTTCGGCATTTGGGAAGCTGATTGCCACTTGCCTGCTTTGCTAACCTAATTACCAGTGTTAATGTGACGGAGGGTTTGCTTTTCCCCCCTCCATCGTCGTGCAAGGCAGCTCAGGCTGTGGATCACATATTGTTGTCTCTTAAAGCACTGTGAATAGTGACTATAGGCACTGACAGATGTTGCAGCCATCGCAGGAAACAGGGCTGGAAGGAAGCTCTGTGGGTCACGTCTATCCCCTGCCTAAGCTGTTCCTGACAGGTGCTTGTCTAAGCTGCTCTTAAACCTCCACAGTCAGACTGGGCACCCTCCTAGGGCAGTTTATTCTAGTGCTCAACTGATTTTCCCCTTGAAGTGCTTTCCCTGATAACCACTGCAAGTCCTTAGCCACGTTGCAAGCCTGACCCTGTCTGTCCTGCAGGAGCCAGGGGGAACAGAGCATTCCCTGCCTCTTCCCCCGAGTCTGCCTCCCATGCCTTCCCAGTAGCAATGTACACATGCCGTTAGCTGTTCCGCAGTGACCTTGTCCATCACCAAATCAATTTGTTTCAGGAAATTACAAGCAATTGCAAGAGAAAAATGAGTTGTGCTTCTTGGCTGTCATGGCTGCAGCTGACTTGCTGTCAAGATACCCTGACACAAATAGGATGAGCCGCAGTTGTGTAATGACAACCCAAGGCATTTCCTGAAACTCCTTCTGTTCAGTTAACTTTCAGTACACTGGAAAAAAATTAATGAGCTGTGGAAGAGGGGAGGCACTGACTAACAGAGCAGCGGAATGAAACTTTTCCCCCAACTATGCTGCTACATGGCAAAAATACTCAATTACACAAAGCGCAGCCGTTTATTCCTGTTTGGTGGGCTTGGTATTTGACAAGCATCAAGCTGACGACTTTGGAATAAAAATCCATAGTGCCAGCATTGAGCTGGACTTGAACTAGTGATGCGAAAAAATCACTTGAGGTATCAGGTCCCTCCTGTCAGAGGAGTTTTAGGGTAGCATCAAGCTGCCGTATTAATTAATGCTGTGTTCGTGCCCTGCTCGTGGGGCAATAGCAGGTGAGTGGCGCCGCTCCTGCGCCGCGCGGCCGCTGAAAAGCCCTTTCCTTGGGCTTTTCTCTTGGTTCTGACTGCGGTATCTCCTTTCAGAGAAACCATCGGCTGTTGCCCTGGGGAGCAGCTCGGTGGGAGGCTCCACGATGCACTGTCCCTCGGCAGCCGTGTGCATAGGGATCCTGCCCGGCCTGGGCGCCTACTCGGGAAGCAGCGATTCCGAGTCCAGCTCGGATAGCGAAGGCACTATCAACTCCACCGGAAAGATCGTCTCCTCTGTCTTTCGCAGCAACAGTTTCTTCGATGGTCCATAACAAAATCCCTCCATGTGTAATGTAGTGCAGAGTTTCCAGCGCCCTGGTGGGTGCTTGATGCATCCTTCTGCCCCAAATGTAATTTTCCTAGCTAACATTACAATTTAAACCTTGCTACCCTCAGATTGTTCTAAAATGACCCACTCAATCCCCCCCACACTTTTTTTTCCCCTTTTTTTCTTTCTTTTTTGTTTTTCTTCTTCCCTCTCAACTTTGCATTTTTGGGGGTGTGTATTGAGCCAGAGGGGAAGTTTGCCACCCTGAAGCAGAGAGCACATCTACCCATGTAATCAAGGTCTGGGGATAGGGAGGAGAAGGCCTTATCTTTTAAATTTCTTAAGGAAAAAAAAATCCTGGTGATCTAAGAATTTTATACAAGACTAACAGGCAAAAAATATTCACTTGAAGCACCGAAGTCTTGTAGAAACAGCCATGTGTTCTGTTTTAAAATGTCATTTTTATTCTGTATTTGAAAAAGGGGGCAGAATAAAAATCAAGCAGATGGTGAAGTGTAGATTGCCATGACACTGTAAAGAAGTTTTAGTGTTACATGATTAAAGACATTCTGAATGCATCTCTCTCCAGATTTCTGCCATTCATAATTGTTCCCTTTCCATTGAGCAATCTCAGCTGTCCCCACCAGCCCTTGCCCGAGCTGCCCTGCGAGGGAAGTGCAATGGAGCCTCCTCCAGCCACCGAGACGTGATGCCCGACTCGTGCTCCGGATGCTTCAGAGAAACCGCTGCCAACTGCTCTCCTGAAACCCTATTGCTCCTCCAGCCAGCGCTTGGAAAATCATTCAGCTTCTCTATGAGAGCTTCCTGAACAGGGTGAAGCCAGAGCAGGTTGGTGTCCAGACTTTTTTTAGGGTACGCACACACACACCCCGGAGCTCCACTATCCTTTGCAGTAGGAGGGTGGACAGATATTGGAGTTTTATTGTGATTTAAGAAGCTTTAACTGGGAGTGTGGATCCAGCCCTGAGCAACAAGCAAGCTGTGAATGCTGAGGATCCCCTCTTCTCATCTCTACACCCAGCTGTGCCCCTCAGAGGTTGGAACAGCTGGACTCGACTGCTCAAGGGTGGGAATTTCTTCATGACAGTCTCCCACGTGGCCGTCCCGCTCTACTCACTGGCCTCACAAGTGTCTGGGCTGCTGAGAAAACGGGTGGGAGAGGAAAAGCTGATGTGTATGAACCCAAGTGTTGTCACTGAATGTGACACTGAGCAACGGGAAAGGCAGCAGCTGGACTAGACATGGTGGGACCTGAACTGCAGTAAGATTCCTGCCTTATCTCAAGGGTTGAACCTTTCCAGAAGAAACAAGGAAAATG